GCTCTTCCATTAACAGCTTATTAACTATAACTACATTAACATTTGAGAGCAGAGAGCAAGTTCCACCACACCAACTTACTCAGATGGCTTAACAGCCTATTTAGTGCAATACTCTTCCCACAGTGGAAAGAGGAATACTTTGAGTGTAGACTATTGGGCACATGATGCGTGGTCACAAAGACATTACCCACAAGAGTAGCCTAGAGGAAGGGTGCTTCTTTATCTGTACATATGTTATTATTCGTGATCTGAGTGGCAGAGGAGCTACAGATGTGGCTTCTTGCAACTAGATTTGCAGGTTACTCGCTCTCAGTCCCACTGCAAACAGATTAAGTTGAAGATCTTCACAAAGCACCTACAGCCTTAGCTCTGCTGAGTTCAATTTGAGTGGGCCACTGAACATCTCTGAATAGTTTAACTTGAACTCCATGCCAGTGTTTGCTAACAGCCACCTATGGCACCAGGCATCAAGGAACACTGCCCGTGTTTCAGGAGACTCCTTCACAAAGGATGGCAAGAACCCACTTATTTAAGATTCCAACTGATTGTATCTTGCAAGTGGTAAGAATGCCTTCCTGCTTAGTGACTCAGGCCCCAACAAAAATGTTTTTTGTATAAGCGCACATCATGAGCATTAGCTCATCTTTTAATCTTTAAAATAGTTAAAAACCTTTAAACTTTTCTTCTGCCCTGTGGCCCATCCTTCAAGGTTCAATGGCTAAAAGCAACAAGAACCAACTAGCCAAATGCCGCTACACTCTGCTGTTACGTGCCAGACTGTGATAATAGACTAGTACAGTATTAAACTGAGTATTTCAAGAAATGGAAACCTTCACTGTCTGCACTTGATCTCCTGCAGAGATCTCCCTCTCTGAATAGGGGCAAATATGCGTCTGCTTGCTTGCAAAGTGTCCCTTATTTTGATAACCAGGGGATGGAAAGTTTGGCAAGAACCAGCTGCTTTCATTGCTAGTGTTTAGCTCAGACGCTGCAGAGCAACTGAAGATCTCCCTCCACAAGAGATTATATAAACTCAGGCAGCTTCACAGAATCAGATGGATCAACAGTAACAAACACAAATCCGTAACAAGTGTTCTCTGCTGGGTACGTTTAAAAGTTTTATTTATCGTTTCATAATCACATCTAGTCCAATATATTTCTGACTCATTATGAAGCAATTTCCCGACATTTCCTCTTTTTAAAACGCTCTGGCCTTGATTGAGTCTCTGCTAATCTGCTTTATCTGTGAATCCAACCATTCAAAACAATGCAAACATTGAAAAAGTGACAGGCAAAAAAAAAAGCCCTGAATAAATTACACCATATGACAGACTTTTATATAAAGAAACTTTAGTGCACTTATATGCTTCACTCCTCTACTTAACTCTAGAAAAGTAAAAAAGATGAAGGTGAGTGTTTCTCCCATTTTCATGTTTTCAAACCAACATGAAATAGCAAAGCCCTTGGTCCACTCAAGCAGTAACAGGAACCTGCACCCAGGTGTGGCAGTGCTCCACTTAGTTCTGGGCTTTTTACTTGCTTTTTGAAGTCTTTATAATTTCCCTCCATGTGTACACATTGCGGTACAAACTAGGTAATTACTTCTGCCTGCCAGGTTGCAGTTACCCGTTTGTAGGCTGTGGGTAGCACACCACTGCACCATTACAGCGGTGGACCAGATCTCCCTGGCAAAAGGCAGGGTGTCCCAATAGTCTCTGGGCCACCCGACTCTTACACGGGGCACTGCTGAATCCTGCCATTTACCTTGCAGAATGTGACCAGGCAGCACTCCTGCATGTGACTGCCACTTTATTTAATATTTGTTCCAAAAGCAGCCAAAAAAAACCTCTTCATCAGAATCACAATCTCAGTACAAAAACAGTGTCTCTGCCTTCACTTTAGTTTTGTAGTATTCCCACCGCCCCTGAACACTCCAACCCAGAAATAAATACTTGTAAGGAAGAACACTTCTGGAGATAAAAGAGAATGATGAGAACAATCAAACATCCAGAAATCTAAACTTCACAGATCGTTTTTAGAGGCTGCAAAGCAAGTATATTCCACAACAAACTGGGAATAAGAACTTTTATTTTTTTTCAGCTGTAGAATGCAAAAGAGAAACATCCTTTGCTAAAGACAATTATTTCAAGTGAGAAGATTTAGTTAAGCTGGAACATACCCCTGTTCCAAGTCCTGTCCTGTCCCCTGTATTAAGTTAACTTAATACAGTTCCAAGTCCTTCTAAACAGCAGTATTAGATTTGACACATTCCGATAGGCCACTTATCAGACCCACCAAGTGCGTTCCCTGAAAACGGCTTACTGCCCTGCTCACCTTGAAGCAGCGGACAACTTTAGGTCCCTTTTACAGAATGCACATTTTTCCCGAGCTGTATTGCTTTTCAGTGGCTTGTTGCTAAAATCCCTGAGACAATGGCTTCACTCCCACGAGAAGGCAATTCTGAAAAAGTTACAAAAAAATCAGAGAAATTTCTATTTATCCCATAAATTTTGTTACAGCAAGGATACTGTAGGACAACTGTTATGAAATGGGCATGCAGTTTCTTTGAAGAAAGCTGACACAAAACTTTACTTGTGCAAGGCACGGGGAACCTGATTTTCATGTATTTAAGAGTAAATAACAACCAGCACTAGTGAAAGGCTTTCTCCTTCCTCATGAGGCCTCTGGTTCATGCCTAATTCACAGTAAGACTTCCTCAGACCTTCTGTGGCATTTGTAAATTGATCTGAAAGTGGATGAGCACTACCTGAAACCTGTTCATGTGTCTGCCTCTAGCCACTAAGCACCTGATGGCCAACTGGTAGACACCTTTACAAAGATCAAGATCAAACAATTCCGTCTCCTTTCAATCACTGGAGTTCCTTTTACCTGACTCGGTTTTCCTGTGTATTGCCCAGTGTTGCTGTGTCTGTAGCAGCACCTAACCTTGTGACAAGGCAGCTGAGCCTTGTTTACCAGAGCTGATCAGAGACTGGTCTTTCTGAACAGCACCACCTCCTCAGAGGTCCAGCACCATAGCTCTGCCTGGTGCCTAAGCCCCTCCTGGATCTGGGAACATCTGCTGCTGAAACTAGGTCTCATGCCCAGCAGCGCCACACGCTGCTGCTTCTCCACTGCACCAGTTCAGCAGCCAGCCTTTTGCTACTGGCGCACGAGTATCTAACACTTCAGACACCACTGGTCAGGTTTATCTTTGATGACAAGCTGTCCTGGGTTGTACTGCTGGACCATGAATTCCTCCATGTTTTTATTGCCATCTGTTTGCAGGTGTGTCTTTGAAAATTGCATCTCCCTGAAGTTGCATATGGCAGTGTCTACAGAGGTTGGCCTGATGCCCTGCTTATGGCTAGACGCCCATGGTTGAAAACCAGCCTGTTTAGAGCTATCTTCATTTGACTGCTGCAGAAGAGCTTGGTACGCCGCATCTGAAAGTGGAAACGTGCGAGGCTCCCAAGGCTGTATGTTCTGTGGAGTGAAAAGGAGAGAAAAGGGAAAAGTTGCAGCGTTGCTGACATTGTAAGCCTAGAATCAAATAGCCAAAGAGTACTCGAATACCCATCTCCCTATCTCCATCTCCTGAGAGACCAGCAGATCCAATGTAGAAAGCTGGCTCTAAGTTTATCAGGGTGCCAAAGCAGGGCCCAATTTAAAATCAAACATTGCGTGCCATTCACAGCATTCCCAAGCTCACTAGTTCAGCTTTCCATTGACATCAAGACTCCTCCTTTGCCATTTCTACTGATACTCCTTATTTTTCATAGTCTCATTCATTGAGCAGGCTTCCAAAGCACATCTTGTGCCCCTGATACTGAAGTCCATAGGAAGGACAGATCTGACACACTTCGTTAAGACCATCTGTACGGTCTTACGACAATATAGGTAAGTGTAAGACCATACCTGTAATTACAATTTGTTAAGACCATCCATAAGCACAAGAGGGAAGTTCAATTCCTCTGGTAGCTTCAGAATTTAACAACAAAGTTAACGCCTTCTACCAAAAAAGTAGTGGCCTCTGATGTAGACAAGTGTCTGAAAAGATTCATTGTCGTGTAGGTGACCCAGTCCCACCCACCAGGAGGAATCTCAAACTCCTGGTCAATATTGTTTTAGGATGATTTAAACTATGACATAATGAAGGAAAGTTCTTTATTCCACTCTGAATCCAAGTCCCTGCAGAGATGCAAACGGAACTATCCTTCGAGTAGTATGAAGCTCATCCTGCACCTTTCAGAAAGCCTACTTTATATACAAGTGTTAACTGTTTTAGAAAAGGACACAGAAGCTGAAGCCAGCTGACATTGATATTAACGTAACTTGGTGAATAGTTATCTGCCTGTACATGATTCCATTTCAGACTTGTTTGCAAATTTCAACTTTTCCAACATTGCCTTTGCATACCAAAGCCACAATATCATACTGTTGTTATGACCACTGTCATAACATTTTGTGTCATTGTTTTATGTCATTAACTCAGTGCAACTTCACTGCAAAACCGAGGAGAACAGACAGACAAAACCTTCCCTCACCCATATTGCTTCATCTAACGTTTCGAGGCAAGATCTGGCACCTTCATTGCAGGACAGCACCGTTCTGGTCCTACTGTTTATGGAGCGAGACTGCAAACTGTTGTAAGTCTCAGGGTTGTGCAAGCCAATAGAAGAGCGCGTATACGCATCATTAAGGCAATTAAGTCCAGTAACTGGAGATGCTGGCTGAGGCTGCCCAGTCCATCGGCCATCTATTTTGTTGGAGGACCTAAAGCAAAGTAATATTTGGAGAGCAGTTAGTTATAGCATGAAACCCAAATAAAAATCACTGTGAAAAACGTAAGCTGAAAAAGTTTCAACAAAATCACTATTGCCTCTATGCAATCAGATTATCCTATCGCCCAGTGGGTACTTTAGCCGAATAGCCCTTTCTCTCCTATCAAAGAGCATCTCCCTGCCGTCTTAGGCGATCATTGTCCATTTCACTGATGCTGAGCACGAAGAGAATAACTAAGCATTAAGAAAGATTAAAAGCTTATAAAAAGCAAGACAAAACAAAATCACACACCAGCTACCAGAGACAGAACCACTAGAACTGATTTTAGCTGGAGGTACTCCAGCTAGCTTCCTCTGTGCAACTACAATAGTTTAGCCTTTTTTCAAAGATGAGAATTACCAATGATATGGGCTGTCATTTTGTTTCCCTATTCTACTGCCCAACAATTTGTGGAGGTTTCGAACAATTTCGATAGGGAAGCAGGGATCTCAAAAATATGACATTCTCCAAATACAATGAAAGCAGAGAGAAAGACCTAGTACTTCCTCCACTGAAGGAAAGGCAGAGAGAAATTCAATTTTTATCTACCCAAATAGCATGTGTGTGTGCCTCCAGACCAACGCATAACTAATTGTTCTTTGTCCAGACAATAGGCAAAAAGGTAAGGGGATATAGCAAGTGAACTGAAAGCAACCTCCACACACAGGTACACAGAACAGATTCTGCCAAAGGTATTAAGAAAGCCAGGGGAAAAATTTTTGGAAAAATAAATACAAACCTGCAATTAACACAAAGCTCTTAACGCAAGAGACTGAGGTCTACTACAGCGTGCTGTGTTACTATTCTGCTGATTAGACCTTATTTTATCAATGCTTTGCTTCTGCTGTGTAACAGATTAATCATATGAAAAAAGTGCCAGGCACTTAAGAACCACCTCTGGAATCTGGATATCTGTACAACTTAAAATGAAGACCAAATACAGGTGCCTTCTGTGTCCGTCAGTGAGACCAGTACCTGCTTCCTCGCTTATGGGAAATAGCTGCTGCCCAGGAATCCCAGCGGGCTCGTTCAAGTTCTTCATATTTGGAGTGATGACTCAAGTACATCTCATCAGAAGTATCCTCCAACTGGGAAAAGATGTTTTGTCTGAATACTTAGAGCATGACGTCTTGCCTGCAAGGTAAGACTACTGCTCTAAGAATTCAGGTAGCCAATATCTAACACATTCAAACTGTTTGGGAACCAGCACCCACATTTGGGATCACTACCTCATTTTTATATTTTGATTACATACTGAATTGGGAACTCGTCAGCCTGAATTCTCAGAGACAGATGCAGGTGCTTCTGTGCATCATACAAGCAGATGCCAAGGCCATTAAATCATGCACAATTAAAAAATTTGTTCTTCCTGCAGCTGGCAATGGTAACGCACCTAATGGCTTTTGTAACAGCTGACATCCCACCATGACCCTCAACTCTGACATCTTTCACTGACTTAAGCTGCAACTGCATCAGGCAGGGCTGAACAGCATTTGATGCGCTGACTTTGCTTACTGGGCCTCCAGGCTTTAATAACTAGCAAAGACTGACTATAAAACTGCTGAAGTGCCATTTGCGCATTCTCAGAGCGGCTGCATGTTTTTGAGACAAACTGACAAAACTGTGTCCTTACCTCAAAATCCACTGGATTGAAAGGCTCCAGTTCCTTGAGCGGCACTGTCCTCCAGCTGCAAGAGAGAACGCTCCACCTCAGCACAATAGCCTCTGCTGGCATTTGGCCTGCCTGGTGCCCAGGACCTCTGGCCTTTGTTTTGCTTTCAGCTGGGCCTGCATTGCGTCCCAGACTCAGGAACGGGTTTAAACAGCCAAAGCGATTCTGAAGCCACTGAACGTCTACTTTACTCACAAAATGTCCTAGTAGATACCACAATACTTCACCATATGCAATCTTTTAAAAAGGAAGAGATTTAATTTTTTCAGATTTGTGCCACCCAACAGTGTGACATCAGAAAAACTGATCAATGCAGTTTCATTGGTGTATGCAGAAATGACTAAGCTCATGAATAACTGGAATTAAACACATCAGCCACGACAGTCTATCTTCTCCCACAAAAGCACTCCAGCCTATTTACATTGCAAAAAGCTAGTCTCACTGCACGCTGGCAGTACTAGAATACCAGCTGCTACACGAGCAGCCAGGAGAGCCAGAAATCAGCAGAGAACTGCATTCCTCAACATACGCTTCAGTAGTCTTCGCCCTTGGCCTCCAGCAACGCGCAGTTATTTCAGTCTTCAGAACGGGGAACACTCTTGGAAACACTTCTTGGACTAGGTATGCGCTGGGAGTCAAACAAAACTCCAAACTTCCCCTACACAACAAGGATTTCATTTCCCAGGCTAACCTGATAAATATCTAGGAATGAATCAAAAGTGACTAGAGGTCACTTACCAAGGGAATACACCTGCTTGGTGCTAACATTTAAATCTAAGAAAAACTAATCACTTTTTTTAAGGTACAGTTTTTCTTTTTTTTTTTCTTTTTAATCTATTAGGAATAATTTCCTCCTTCAACATTAGGGGAACCAGCTTTCATTATGCATAACTAAAGCAATTTTCTCCTGTCATCTACCCAAGAAAATCACTAAAGCCTGATTTGTAAATACCTTGGTGTCACAATCTCTTTATACTGAAGCTTTTCCACCCGAGTGGCTGCTGCCATTGACACTGGGATCACAATGTTATTGATGTCGTCAGAACATTCCACTTTTCTTCTTTTTGAGGACTGCTGAAACACAGAATAACGAGAAACCTCTTGGAGGCAGAATACTGATGTTAGTACAAGAGCGTATTTGAATATATCATGGAAAGCAACTTCTCCATAACAGCAACTGTAGTAGATTCTGTTCTTACCACTTCCCTTGACGTTCAGTGATGTTTTGGTCACATCATACAACCTCTGTGGTTCCCATAGTAAGCAGGATAATATTTACCTGCCTTTGTGGGTTCGATTTCACTCATAACATTGAATTACTTTTGCTATAGAGACTACTTCAATATATACAAACAGGCAGAGAAAGGCTGTTGGAATGATTCAAGGAGTAAAATCCTGTTATTTTAGTAGAATAAAGGAGCTTTACATGTTTGGCCTTGCAAAACAAGGGCTGAAAAGGAAAAAAAAACCCAAAAAAACAAAAACAAAACTTTCAATAGGAAGATAAAAACGTAGAAGAACACCACCTTCCTAACGTTGAGAGAGGTGTTTCTGAGACAACAAATTCAGAACATCCTATCATTTAGGCTGGAAGTCAGAAGATTTCCAAATTGAGGAGTCAGGCTCTGGAACAGCCTCCTAGGAGCACTGGGACAAAAGGAACCCTGAACAGTTTGGAGATGCGTTTTGATCAGTTTATAAAAGGGGCCCTGTATTGTGGTGCCTGCGGTAGCTGCGGATTAGACCTGTGTTTCAGAACAGAAATTTCCCTTCTACTTATAAACCAGAAGTCTCCAATATGCTTGCTTGTTCCATTCTTGAACAAACACCCTTCTGGTTCTAGGCAAAAAAAGCCAACCCCAAATTGAAGTTGTTAGTGGCCAAAAGGGTAGGTGTGATTTATCACTGATGTGATATTATATAAAAGCCGTAGCAGACACAGGGAAATGATGAGAAGCATCTTTAAAAATCTAATTAGGAAATTTATGTAGAGAATGTACCTGAAGGAAGAAAAGCTAACCAGGCAAGCAGCCAACTCGGTCCAAACAGTTGGACTGTTAAAATTTCTGTACATCAGAGAGGGAGAAGAACAAAGAAGGCACTAATAATGCAGGAGCCATAAACACAGAAGACGAGCAGTTGTTGGCAGTGAAAATAGGTATAACAGGGGCTGCGGGCTCCACAAAGGAGCTCATTAACCCCTACTTCCGCAAGAGTCCAGTGACGGTCCACACAAGTACTGTGTCAATCCCCATGGGAAGGATCTAAAGCCTAAAGCAAGTATGGAGTTGGTGAAACCTAAAAAAAATTACATGAGAAAGCCTCTACTCTGGGAAAGGCCTGCTTCTGTCGCTTGGACCTGACACTGACCTCTTAGCAAAAAGAGGAAGGGAATAGCGCTACATATAATACACCTGAACCCCTGTCCTTCCAGGTCTCCTTTGACAATGTACTTGGAGAACCAGGACTCATTCAATGCTTTCCTACATATAAAAGTGGCTATGGCAGGATGTATTTTTTAATCCTCTCCTACTTCCAGGAGGACAAGCAAACGCTTAAACATCTTGACCGATGTTCCTGCTTCATCGGGAGAAGTCCAGAGCAGTTAAATTCTTTTTCTATTGTTTTTAGCCAAAATAAAGCTGTAACATTACATGCGTTTAGCTATTCACTTAAAAACAAAACAAAAAGCCCCCCGCAGTACTAAATTCAACACCGACCAATCTGGTTGGGGAAGCAGTGCTGCAGGCACCTAGCCAGCCAAGCGCTGCCTCAGGAAAAATGAAGCAAGTAGCTGCTACTGTTTATTTAATACCAACATCCTCAAAAGCATTTCCCAGCAGACCATTCAAAAGCTGAATTCCCAGTGGGTCTGCAGCCCCGAGGCAATGCTGGAGAAGAGAAGTTTTTGCCAGCGCCTCTCTAAGGCTGCTCCCCTTTTCAGATTCATTTGCCGCAGCTTTTGTTTCGACTCACCATTGTTGAGCTGCCAGTGAAAGGGATTTGGCTGGAAGAAGGGGCTGGAGGAGTCTCTGGGTACAAGGACGGTGAGTGGTGCAAAAGACTATTTTTATGTGCCTGAGGACTGGAAACAGGAAAGCTGTGACTGTATGTTCCTTCAAGCTGCCTTTCCCCTTTAAACAATGAACCTGTTAATAAAACGTGAACAGAAAACCAAGGTGAAGTCTGACTATTTTAAGACGGGTTGGCGATGTTGCTACCAGTAAGTTCACCAAAACCCTCCTGGGGAACACTGCGCAGAACGCTGACATCAAAGAACAAATGAATGCAAAACACAGAAGCCTCAAATGAAGAGTCAGTGCTACACAGGCCTGTTACTTTTGCTGCGTGTTTCCAAACTGCAGTGGAAGGCGAAGTAAAAATTATAACCAAAACCAAGACTTCTCAGTTCAAAATACAGCCACTTAAAACAACCTCCAGAACAACAAAACAAACAAACAAAACCCTTCCTTCACTGTAGAAATGGTCAAGCTGGTCCCACTTCTAACAATCACTCCGGTGATGATGAGTCGCACTGATTTTTTAAGACAAACGTACTCTTCTCTTCAAGATCCTGTATAATAATCAGTTCGGTATACTTTTTCTCCTGCATCAGTTACATTTGTACTCTTTCTCCCAATTTGTGACTGGGTTCTTCCATTTGGGAAGATACCACAACGGAGCAATCTTCCAAACCTGTTGTGCCATACTCCTCCATGCTTTGTTATTCAAATCCTTCCTAAAGAGCTAGCTTTTCTATGAGACTCTTAGTAACTTCAGCAGCATATAAAAGTTATCCTGCATTACTGCGCATCATCCATTAGAACGTGCTCTTCATAGTAGGTGCACATACTCACACCACATACATATAATAGCTTTTGTGCAGTTTCCTGGCTAAATATTTGAAAAGGAAGGAGGTATAGAAAGGCTGATTAGTTAAAAGTCAAACAGCTGCTGCAGTTTTACCTCATGAGACTACTTTGAAATCAAGAACTGAACTTTTAATCCATACTGAAATGCAAACAATCCTTCAGTGAGGAAATGCAACAGGAGATCAAAATTACTTAGCCCCAGTACACAAAGAAGTATGCCATCTTGTTTAATTCAAACAACAAAGAAAACTATGTGCTCTCCCAGCTCTGATTCCAACTGAATTATCAGTTGCAAGCGTACAGGAGGCAGACTGCTGGCAAAACAACTACTTTTTTTTTTTTCCCCCTAGGCAAATGCTGACCTACTCTATTTTAAAATAAAGCATCATAAAAGCTTCTTTTTGGTAGCTTGTTCCTATGAAAGAAACAGAGAATGGTGAGTTTGTTTTTAATAATCTGACTGGAGCAAGTATATATGTGTCCTTTTAAGGCGCTCAGAATTTCTACAGTTTGCAAGACGCTGGACTCAGTCACTTGGGCATTATTATAGGACAGAGATCGGGATTATCTTCCATTGGAAGAAAGGAACCTCCTTTCTCCATTACACCTTGATTGGTTGTTCTCCAGTACTGGTTAAAAGCTCGTATTTAATTCTACGACCTGATCTCAGTCTTGCTTAACTTACTGGAGGCAGACAGAAGTGAAGAGTATAGCTTTGGAAACAGGCTGCCAGCTGGATTTTGTTTCTTTCCAAAATGGGACATCTTCAGAGTCGTGACTTTACAGCTCGGTAGCCTATGCAGTCTATCCTCTCTTAATAAGGTTTCAAAGTGCAAGTGGAGAGGGTTGCCTGAAGGTAAAAAGAACAAGTTATTCTGGTAAGCACAAATTTCCTCTTTTCACATATAAAACCCAGCACTGCACACACATCATTAGCAATGAGCATCTGTCAATACTGAGATAAAACAAAAGAATGACATAGCTAATTATTTTAAAAGCACGGTCAGTGGCAGGCTTTCTCTCCACCTGAATGAGGTGATACAGAGTGGGCAGGATGAGCACATCCCCCAAAACAGTAGCCTCCATATCCTGGCCCTCTGCTCTGCTGCAAGCTGGCAGCCAGAACCTAACACGCTGCCATGGAGCTTCCTCACTCTTACACCAGGACGACTCAAATCCTGTCCAGCTACACATTACTTGGCACTGGTTTGCATCCTTACGTGAGAAGCTTTAGCACAGCTGAGAGGTGATCTTATGCTTGCTTGTTCTTTGGGTTTTTCTTTTTTATTTTAAATGGGAAACAAACAAACAAGACATTTTAAAAGTATTTTCCTCCTAGTTCCTTAACCTACTCAAAAACTCCTTAACACACATTTTTGCTCTTCTATGGTTAAAGACACTAAAGGCGCTGCAGCCACTACCATCCTTCACATATTTAAACAGAAACTAAACCTGTAAGATCCTAGGGGGTTAGGGACCACAGCACCGAGCACATCTAGAAGGCCACAGGTTTTTAAATGAAGAATGGCAGAGTGACCGTCAAAACTCAAGCAGTGACTTCACACTCAAAATTGGGCCAGACGTCTACCAAATAGCCTACCTAGACGTCTACCACATGACCTGTCAATATCAGCATTAGATTCCGAGTCTGCCAAGTACCTCTCCAGGGCAGAGATCTAAAAGGAAATTACAATAGCTGTGCCACAAGTTTCCAGAATTAGAATATTTCTTGGAGAAGGCACAGAGAGCCGCTTTTAAGGAAATGGTCTAGTTTACACTAAACTACACAACTGCCTCAGACACGAGCCAAGACAACATGGTTTGCTGGGCTCAGGGATCTCCACAGACCGCATCCTTGTATGAGGATCAAGTGGCTCCGGTTGCATTGCAGAACTTTGGTGAAAGTTTTCTATTATCCTCTAGAAACTTACTTAGAATTTGGCTAACATACTTTAAACCTGCTTGTTCGTGAAGGAGAAGAGCAAAGTGGGCAACAGTACAACAACGGATCCTGTTTCACATTATGAACATGAAATCTACTCACCATGAGATAAAGAGAGTATGGGATGGAAGCCAGAATCCAGTAGCGCTATACGCTCTCCTAATGACATGGTCTCAGGATCTACTGTCTGGACAGAGGTTTTACAGCTACACAAGATGCAAGAGCTGGGCCATTCACAGCTGCACTTCATGGTGAGAGGTTTCAGTGGCTAGCAGAAGAAAAGAGATCAGACATTTAAACAGGGAAGCATTGTGCGCTTCACATTTAATAAGTAAAATTGAAGTTCAGATCCAGTATTTCTGGTTTGCTTTCTACAGGTTCATTAGTTTTCATGCACTAAAAAACAAAGCCAGGCAAGTTTTGAAAAAACCTCTCTCTGCCACAGTCACCTTTTCCAAGCTGAGGAGGTAGTCACTCACAAACACGCAGATCCCAGCGCTGCCGACAAAAATAAGTAGCGGATTTGCAGGGTGAAAAATAAAATCAAGACCTAGGGTCAATGTTAGAACAACGTGTAAGAGTACGACAACAGGCTCTCCCTCATTTTGACCATGGATGAATTGCTATTTTATCCAGTAGATATACTTGCATCTCTTATCCCCATCAAAATAATTAACTGCATGAAAGGGACATTCTGTGTGCTATTCTTTTATTAATATTTCCAAGCAAAAATATTTCCTTTGCAGCTCCAGGGAAGCCATAATACTCTATCACTTCCTTTTTGAAAAGGTCAAACATCTCCATGCCTTTTCCCCTGCTGTTCTTTCTCATCTTCCTTAAAGACCCTTCATAGCTGTGACACTTACAAAAACCTCAGTGCATTGCCGGCCTAACATTTTTATCAAAAACAACATCTATCGCTCTGACCGGTATTGTCTCATTTTCCACCTTCCTCATGTCTGTAACAGGCTGTTGTCTTCCATTTGGAGCGTAAGCTCCTTACAAAGGGGCTGTTGTCTTGTGCTGTACAGTGCCTGGCTTTGGTCTAAGGCTGAGGTATCAGTAAGTACAACCAAAATAGCCCGGAGAGTCTTAAGTCAACTATTCTTTTTCCTCACAGCTGCTGAAATACAGGTCTTGTCTCCTGTCCTCACCCCTGGCCCCCAACAATAGATCAGGTTCTGTAACATCAGTCAAACCAAAAGAGGGAGCATTAACAGCCCTTTTACCGATAGCCTAACTAAATAGATTGAATTAAACAATATTAGCTTTGTGCTCTGGCAAATCAAGCGATCAAAGACTGCGGAAAATAACACTTAACTTTTAATCTTCGTCTTAAATTTGCAGGCTATTACTTTCTGTTACTTGTAAATCAGTATTATTTGAGGTTTAAAAGGCAATAAACAAGCAAATAAGGTATGAGCAGCATAACGAACTGCTGTTTGTCAACTGATGCATCTGACCACACGTGTCCTTCGTTTGTCATACTTAATATATTAAAAATATTGGCTCAAATAGCTTTTAAACATCTGCTTCGGTAACTCACTATTTCACAGCTAGGTGTTTGACAGGTGCTTATTTGATCAGGCCTGGTAGCTCAGCATTTAAGTGACAAGTCAAATCACTACAACCCACTTAGGCTCAGTCACATGCCAACATCCCAAGTCTCAACTGATGCTGAATTTTTCTAACTTTCCCCCCCCCAGTTCCAGTGTAATCAACTCCAAAAAGTAAACAGCAGAAAGTTGCTGCCCAACCTAAAATTTGAGGTACAGTCTGGTCATCATGACTCAGAAAAGCAGCCTGATTTTTAAGAACTGGACTTCAGAATCAGTTTCTAAACCAGTTAAACCGAGAACAACTCATGCCATTCTTTCCATGTTATCTCGGAATATAAAGTTCAGAAAAGAGCTCAGAAAACTTTGGATTAAGAACAAAGTCTTGAATTAGGACATTTTTTGCTAAAAATAAAACCATGCGTTCCCAGTAAAGACGCAGCCTAGTTTCATAACCACTTGACAAAACTTTCACTTACCTTCCTGCTCAAGTGAGACACAGAGGTAGCTCGGACAAGCATGCGTTTCTTATATTTGCAAATAGGGCGGATTCTAGCAGCAATGCAGGTACTGTCCGATATAGATGATGCAGGAACAACGTTATCAAGCTGGTTTTGTTTACCAAGTATCTCTTCAACGTTCAAGCTGATCAGAGAATTGCTGCTGGAGGAGCCAGTGTGCAAACTGCAATCAAACGAAAAACAACCGTCACTATCTCGGAGCAAGAGAGGTAAATCGCAATCCTGTATCGCGGCTGTGCTGCCTGATGCCTCCTCAGTATTTACAGCAGCAGCTAGTGCTTATCGGTTTTGTTCTCATCACATTTTTAGTCTTTGCTAAACTGTATCTCTTTAAGGGTATATAAACTGCTGCATATTTTTCATGCTCACATGCTCAACACAGAAACGGACAATAAAGGGTCTTAACTGTATTTTCACTAGTTAAGAGCTGAAATCCTTATACCAGAGGCAGATGTAGTAGCCATTAAGAGCATGCATTCTTCCTCCGACAAAGAACTTCACAACCAGCAGCTTAATTTATCACCTGATAACACAGTGCTTTACTTTCTATAGAAAGATAGCAGTTACACCTAGACAGTGCCAAACCTTATCTCCATTTCTCTCTCTGTTCGCCATGGCACTGTGGTTAAAAGATTATATTTCAATAAGCAGATAAAATTTTATTGCCTCGTATTGTACTCTTTCACCAAAACCAACTGTAGAAACAGTGCCTTCTTAAAAGATCTTCCTTTGTTTTCAGTCACGCATTCATATTAGCAGTAGGAAAGCTCATTTACTTATTACAGAAACATAGAATGGTGTATTATCTTTGTTGGTCCTATACGAGTGTGATAAAACTGTTTTTCTGGTTCAAATAGCAAAAGCTCTACTAAAACTACAAATGTAAAATCTGTATTTTTATTATGTGAGCCAAAAAGACTAGCCGGATGCTCCAACTCCATGCTGAGTTTGTAGGACTGGCTGTCAGAAATCAATGTCACCAGACATCCAACCTAGGCATTGGCTGCTGATGAAGCTTTAAAACAAAAGCAACCAAATAACAATAATCAACACCTGCCCCCAAATTCTTCACTGAGTAAAAAGTTGCTGATTTACATGTAAAATTAGATCCTTCTACAGTGTCATCCACTTGTCTTCAGTCTCCTAGTTATCAGCCAAATCCTATCCAACTATATACACGCATACATGAGGCAATGTACCTGTAGAAAAAAAAATGTACTTAAAGAGTCCCACATTCACCTAGTTACCTGTTAACCGCACAAACCAGGAAGACAATGAAGATTTACGGACAACAGAAAAAGGCAGCAATGCAAATGAGAAAGTGAGAAATAGCTATTCATGTTCCGTAAGTGAAACAAGCTAATTACATTAAAAAAGGTATGAGATGCCCTTCAAAATTTGCAGCAGAACCACATGCAATTCCCCCCGCCAATAGTCTCCCGCTTCCTGTTGTCCTGCGTACCAACTATGCTGCAACCCTGTGTTTACTGTAGGTATTTTGCACCTGAACAATTATAAACCCTAATAACTTCCACAATAGATAGCTTGGGTGGGGGACAAAGAGGAAAGGCCTGTTGTAACAGGATGTCAGCTCCCAAACCCGAAAGAACTGACTGCCTACCGCATATGCGAGCAGGCCATCCCATCTGGAAAAATTATCATTTCAGAATGTCGTAGCCCCCCCTACCAGTCATATTAACACAAGCAACAGCTTGGAAGCACTGTTAGTCCTGTGATGAGCCATAATACAATTTGCATTACAAATTAATACAAATTAGCTAGAATGTCTAGGATTTCATCGTATAACACACATCATCTCGTACTTTGATAACGATCCTCAGCATCACTTCTCTCTTGTGATGCTCAGTTGTGCTATGATGTAAACTCCGTTGCCTGACTACAACGCATCCAGAACACGGAAACACCGGCACGCAGCTAGCCAGGAGGATTGCCGGGTGGCAGTTTCATCTTCCCCTCTGAAGCCAGGCTACCACAACACAATTCGTTGCCACTACTGCTCTACGTAAGCGGAATAACGAGGAACGGAGAAAAATGGTGGCCAGAGCCAGAGTCATTAGGTTCATCTCCTTCATCAACAAATCCTTATTTATTTATTCATGTTTCCGTTTCTTCTGCCCTACTGGTATTCGTCACATACAAGAAAAAATAAGCTTTAGAACTTAATTTTCTAATAGTACAGCACTCCGCACTTGAATAGCATGGGAAAAGAACATAAAGGTGACTAATTTTATTTGCAGTTCCTCAATACTATTTTCACAAGTTCGTCTTAGACTTCCACCGTGAATTTTTAATTTGGAGTCCACCTAATAAAATATTATACAAATATATTTAAATAATACGGGTAGCCTATAAAATCCAGGGGTAACCACACTAAAAAAAACAGTAAGATAAATTTTCAGTTGATCACAGATGAGTCACAGGTAAAAACGTCTCAGTGGCATTTCGAAAGTCTAACTTTAGTGACTTGCACTCAAGTTGTCCCAGAACTTGCAAACTAACCGCGTACAATAAAGTCTCATCGTAGCCTCTAAGAGGCTCTTATTAATAAAAAAAGCTTGAGGAATTCCTATTACCTTCCATGATAAACAAACAGGAGGTTCAATGTATCAAAATCATATAGAAAGGAATTCTATGGCTCTTACTCTTTTCTGACTGTTGAGTAGTTTTATGCTAAGAAAGTTTTTAAATATATTGCACAGCTCGTAAAGTCCGCATTTTCAAATCTACACAAATAAGTTAACAGAAAATTTTCTCCTAATGAGAGAGAGAAGCCTCAAAAGTCCTGTTTCTGAACATGCGCTTAAAAACCTTTCATCTCTTCCCCCAAAAGGTAGAAGCAAAATTCTAGCATCTTACAGAAACTCCAGTTCGGGTATTTATATGTCCATATTTATCCTGGGACATGATCGGGATACAACAAGTTCTGATTTTCCACTCTGCCTATCAGGGAATTGTTCTCCTCCTCCCCCATAAAGCACCCAGCCAACTCTGAAGGGTAAGCAACACTGGAAAAAAAATTTAAAAGCGTTTACGCACCAAAGGAAAAGGACAGAACCACGCTTCTAACTTGAAGATAAACAGGAGATGCTTTACCACACCTCCTCCTCTTCCCCCATCAGCCTAAGCTAGAGTCAAACACTGACTGCTACAACTCAAGACGACCTCAGTACGTGCAGTTTTCCTGCATTCAGGCTGAAGATGTTGTGCATCAAGTCTTCAGCGGGGCCTGACTTCCTGAGTGATGTCTTTAACCCAAGGGACCGGGGAGGCAAAGGAGGTTCGAGCAGCCACCACGGCTCAAATCACAACTCGGTCAGTTTGTCAGCTCTGTTAACTCCGATACACGTCACTAACCCTGGCACATCAAATGCCATACCTGATGGAGTTTAATCATTTATTATTTTCCAAGAACTAACAAAATGCTCACAAAGTTTACGTAACCATGTTTATGCTGTGGTGCTACTTCAAGTGTTAAGGCTGACAGCTGCATTAAAAACACTGATGGTTCCTTTAGAAAGGAAGAACATTGTTTAAGGAACATTTTCTCTAAATGCTGCAAAGACTGCAGGCGTTTACTTGAAAACGGAGGCAAAAAGCATGCAAACGTTGTCTTAATGAACTATATTCTGAGCTGCTTGACCCAGACTGTACTTCGACAGAATAGGCTATTCCTTCAGACGTGCATATTCCTAATGAAATTATTAAATATAAAAATTGGCCAGGTTAATCTAAAAGTAAATAATGCAATTGCCCAGTAGTCAAACAGAACTAAATCCAAATCACAGTTAAGACTGGCAATCAGAGAGCATTTACTTGCTCAATCTGTCACAACAAGTAGCCGAATCAAGTGACAAGACTGAGTTAGGCAGGATTACTGTCTTGCTCTAGAACAGACAGGAAGTCCACGTCCTTCCAGTCCCCGACCTCTGGCAACTCTCCCCGCAGAGCACAGGGCACGCTGGCCCAGCTGGGGAATTACTTTACTGACCAGTCTGTACTTCGCTGTTCCCAAACACGACCACCCAAGAACACCCCTAAGTGCCCTGTACATCTGTTTTTAAAAAGCACCAAGAAGTTTCTTGCAATCTGCAGGAGTGACAAGCGTTTCCAACACTAACGTTTGCCTTAAACGCCGTTACTATTCTGGCAATTAGTCTACCCGTCTTTGGCTCCTGCTTTCACATCATGGACCTATCACTTCAGACAGACTAAGCCAAGCAGTGGTTTTTCAACCTGTTTGCAGCACAGCAATCAAGCTTTACTCCTTACAAGAGCAGAACTTCACTAACTCTAGTTTGCAGATTTAGAGATTTACGTTCACTCTGACTGCTTACAGTGGAAGTGCAGCCCCAAAAATTAAACCAAACAGAATGACAGTGGAATTAGTGACTGCAACTGAGAACAGTGGACAACAGAAGGAAAGTTCTCAATTTAATATAAATAAATTACTTAAGTAATTCATTAAAAATTACTCCCTGCCAATGTTGAGCAAAGAGTTGATTAGGAATCTCTCTTTAATAAAGATTCAACTCTCCATAAAAATATGAGAGGTTACAAAGCTGAATTCTAGGTAGTTCTCCATCACCAACAAGACCGATAAAACTTACTTCTTCGTATACAGAAAAATCGAAAAGGAGAAAGAGGTGGTCAACGTTCTGTGCACAGGAGGGCACTGAAAACGCTGAGGAATCCAGTCATTAGAAGAAATTTTAAAATTATGCCACCAGGATGCTGTGAAGCCTCCTCTTCTAATCTCGACAGGTAAGGTACACTTTGGTCACCCATTTTCATAGAGGAGGTTAACACATTGTGCTGCCTACGTGACAGAATATCACGTACGTATTTGGCATTCTTCATTTTTGTGTCCCCTGGCCTCTACCCCCCTTTTACAAAACAGATCACAGCGACTAATTTAATACTCATCCTTAAAAGAAAATCCCCACTGGAATCCTCCCAACAGGCACATATACTCATTTTCATTTTTCACAACATGAATTGCACAGATAGAAGTCTTTTACCTAAAGACGACGTTCTTAGCCACTATGACCAGTGCCTTAAATACAAAGTTATTTTTTGATCAACCTATAGGAAAAGGAGAACTAACCAGTTAAATACTCCGTTGACTTGGTGGGGTGACGCGGAGCAGGCTTTGCGGGGTCCTGGAGACCCACTGATGGGGGTACAGGAGGGACTTTGACACATAGGGTTTCCTAAAGACTGCGTAAGGCCAGAGCTCTGCAAGAGAAAACAAATCTCAAACTCAGGAAAGCTTCATGTGATAAGGAATCTCAAGAAGGATGATGGCAGAAGGGAAAAAGCCCAGAAAAGCAGAGTAATCTAAGGAACGTTTTGCAATTACAAATAACGTTGAACTTGAAAAGATCCAATATAATCAATCATTTGCAATTAATCAACTTAATTTCAAGTAACATTCTCCAAAGTAGTCTGAGTTCACATTTCAAACGAATTCTGAAACGTCACAAAAAGTTACAAGAGAGCTTTTAGTTCTCTGTTCTATAAGCTGGAGACCATTTTCAGAGCAAGATCCCCCAATTTTTGAGCTATTCCATCTTTTCAACTGGACAAATAAAGCCTATGCTGTACCAAAATCACTAATTTCATAGAAACTTCTGAAGTTTTAATAAAATGATTATTGAAGAATATTTGATGGCTCAACACAATTACAAGCTCATTGGACGTTTCTGAAGTGTCAAGACTAAAATACTTTGGATTTCCACATCACTAAACCTCTTTATCTTCAGTTTATTGCATGCACATGTCTATGCTAGTGTTAGTTAAAAAACAACAAAAAACAAAGATACAAGAGCAGCAGAAGCACAGCTTTCCTCACACTGCACCATCAACACCACAGCGCCTTCTCTTGAAGGAAGTGTCGTTAGGGATACGGAGAACTCTTTCAGTAGGTACGCATGCTACTGACATAAACAAGAGTAGGTTTTCCTCAAAAAATAAACAGATAAGCACTAGATATATTCATCAGTCACTAAAAGAAGCGCTTTGAATTCACAGAAATATGGATGAAAAGACAGTCTCTACTACACAAAACCCCCTTTCTAGAACGGCTGTTGTTGAACAAAGTAAAACTTACAGGCAAGTATACTTGCACTCATTTACATGGGTATTGTTAACAAGAAATTACCACTACTAGAGCTGGTTTTAATACATCTAAACACTTAAAAACTAAGGATTATTCAGAATAAAAATGGCGCTTTTTTGGTAGTAATTTTGGTTCCACTAATTATGCTGATGTATTCTGGCTTAGTCCCGTATCTGTAAAAGTGTTCCCATGGCAAGGTAAAATCTAGATTTTTTTTCCCCCCCCCAGATTTTTTTTTTTTCTCCCCCCCCCCCCTTTTTAAATAAACTGTGTGCTGCTGAACACAAGAAAAATATAGAAGAAAAATATGTTCTTTTTAAAGAAACAGACAAACTACTTTGCATGTCTATCTAAAGACTACATCGATGCTGCTAAGTCTCTGAAAACTAATTTCCCCTTTGTTCACGTCCTACCATCTGCCCTGGCAATATATATTTGTTCCAAATGCTGCACAAAAAACCTGGTCAGACCGTGCAACGTGGAATAAGTCTAGTGCATGCAGTGCAGAGCTTCTACCACCCCATATTACATTGCACTGCAGCGCCTGGTTGAGATGCTGGGAGCTGTTCTCTACTAGCACAGTGTAACCCCGTTCACTTTAAACTTAGGCCCTCCCTGTTGAGGGGGCAGCACAACCTCCAGATTTTCAGGATACAGCCTGATACGTTCTGTGCAGCAGCTGAGATCAAAGGAGAGGACGCAGCAGAAGCCTCGGAGCGTAACTCCAGCTACCATCAATGCCACCTACAGCTCACCTGCTTGCTGGAGCGAACCCGGAGAGTCAGGTCACAGCATGGCAAACCAGCCTGTGCAAAATTCCTGACTGCAGCAACATTGTGTATTTGCAGCTTTGAAAGCAATAAACAGTTATGTTGTGCTTATCCTCTACTTCCTGAAGCTTGCCCGCAGCCTTTGACCATCTAGTCTCCCAGCCACAATCAGTCCAAGTCTGTAGACTCTCATTCTCACCAGAAACACTAATAAACAAATGGTCCAAGTGCTGTGCACGGCATTACTGAAGAGACTGTGCAAGCCGTAAAGGAAAGAGAACTCATCTATTTGCAGAGTACGCCTACAACTACAGGCAGATATGCACAACGGCATAGAAATTGCAAGATTACAGGAATTCCACATACCAGGAGGTCCTGCCTGTCTTCTGCTATGGGCCCACCCTAAGCCAAGCTTGAGAAGTTAAGATAACCAAGGAGCTCTCCAATGGTAACGGAAAGTAGGGGTTTTCATCCAACGTGGAAAACAAGCTCCATTACAGGCCGGACAAATGAAATCTGAGGAAGTGGTCAGAGCTGCTGACTTGTACAAATCAGCCCTGGCTCCTACTTCCTCTCTTCTGAGAGGGGATAAAAACCAGGAGTTTGAGTTGCCTAATGATACTGCGTTAAGTTTGCTCTTGACCACTCTTCAATCCCAAGCACTTGCTCTGCCGTATCCTCTCATCAAGAGTCTCTTCTCTTCACCCCATTTTCTTCTAGTACGCATTTGACATCTGACTTTAGAACGTGGCTTTACCTTTGAATGTCCACCTTTATTCAGGAAATCCTCAGAGGAAGTGGAAGAAAAATATCATATGTAAGGAAACTTATCTCACAGGAATCTCGCTTTTGCATCTGGGATAGCATTGGTTTTATGTTCTGCATCTCCTGGGATGGAGAAGTCTGAGGGGAGGTCTGATCAACGTGTATAAGAATCTGAAGAGAAAGTGTCAAGAGGAAGGGGAAGGGGCCAGACTCTTCTCTGGTGCCCAGAGACAGTACGTTTGTGCCCAGTGGGCATAAACTGAAACACAGGAAGTTCCACCTAAACCTGAGAAAAAATTTCTTTCCTGTGAGGGTGACAGAGCATTGGAACAGGTTGCCAGAGAGGTGGTGGAGTCTCCTTCGCTGGAGATCTTCAAAAGCCGTCCGGACGCAATCCTGGGCAACGTGCTCTGGGTGATCCTGCTGGAGCCGGGGGGTTGGACTAGATGATCTCCAGAGGTCCCTGCCAACCTCAACCGTTCTGTGATCCTGTAACTTTCATAATTGCCAGCCTTGCCACATATGCTTCCTTTCTTTACTTTCCTGCATCAATTTCAATTTTAAGACATCCTGTACTAACGCAGTGACTTTCTCAGTAAATTTAAGTAGTGCATTAATAGATAACTGTCCCTTTTCTGCAGTTTCATGTTCAGAAACAATTGCTTTTGAAAGCCCTACGAGAGTTACCTGCTTCCATTTTCTCCCAGTTACACCTGTTAACAGTCTCCTGGACTTACCTGTTTTCCATTCCTGTAAAAGTCATTTGGAGCTAATAGCTTTCTGTGTTCACTCTGTCAAAAACTTTTGGCCTGAAAAACGTGCAGGTTCTTTGAAATCACAAGTGAAGACGTTACTCTTTTGTTCCAGGTGAGTGCTAGGGGCTCAGTTACTTCCATAAGTGACTATCCATTCTGTCTTCTCCTGCCCTCACTTCCTCCGAAGCATTTTAGGTGCATTTTTTTTCCCCCAGTTTCCCGTAACTTTTTTTTCTTTTTTTCCCAATTAGTTTTCAGCCAGGCAAGAAAGAAGCACTGAAGACTGTTTACACGCTGCATCCTCAGGAAATGCCTCTTTGAAAGCCAGCTATGCAAGATCTGAATTCCATTATTTCAGTAAGCAGTTGAATGTTACAAGAGACTAGGTAGTATGAGTGACAGTTTTTAATAATTTGCATTTTCAGTGTGTCTAGTAATCCCAGTGGGTCAGGAAATCTAGATATCTAGAAATACAGTACTTTTTAAAAACTTTTATATAGTTTATTTTTAATATTATTAATTGGTAACCATCCCTATTCCACGTGCCTGCTATCTAAATAAGTGAGATTCAGGGACAATTTTAAACTTTTTGTTTTATGGATGGAAGCTGAGAACAGGAGTTAATTGACTTAGCAAGGGTGCATGGGAGTTTGCAGAAGACTTGGCAGTTCAAGGATCCAAGTCCTACTCAGGGCCAATACGGCAAGAACTTGACATCTTTTTCAATTCTTAGGTCAAATAGATTTAGAAGCTCTCTTCCTTGTATCTGATAAATGCCACACTTGTTCTGGGATCAGTTTTTTGGTAAAATATGAAAACTTAGTTTTTATTAATTTTTCTGCCTTCTATGAAATGTGTTCTTAAAGTTCAGAATAAACTAATCACAGAATGGTTGGGGTTGGAAGGGATCTTTAGAGATCATTTAAGTCCAACCCCCCCCGCTCAAGCAGGGTCACCTAGAGCACATTGCCCAGGATTGTGTCAAAACAGCTTTTGAATATCTCCAGGGAAGATATTTCCCATCCTCTTGACACCTTCCCTTCAGATACTTGTACACGTTGATGAGATCGCCTCTCAATCTTCTCTTCTCCAGGCTGAACAGGCCCAGCTCTCGCAGCCTTTCTTCATAGGAGAGGTGCTCCAGTCCCCTCATC